AGAGCTGTGGGTCAAGGAGGGCTGCTGACAGGGTGTGGAATCAGCCTTAGAGAGAGGAGTATTTCAGTCAACAGAGCAGAAATGAGTTGGACATCTGAAGAATGCTTTGACATTGGACATGAAGATGCAGAACTGGGAGTTTGCCCAGCTGGGTTTCAGTTGCTCTGGCGTTGGTTCAGTGTTTCCTCCCTATGATCCCTTTCCTCCCTTCCAGAACGGTAATGTATATTCAGTGCCATTGTATGTTGGAAGCATGCCATTTGCTGTTTCATTTTACAGGTGGTTACAGTTCAGAGAGGGACTGGGGAATTTTGAAGTTGGACGACATGCATCGTGCATTACTATAACGGCTATGAGCCTTTAGGGGCCGGGGGACGGAGTGTGGCCATTTGAGTGAGAATGCCTCATAGGCTCATGTATTTCTTGCTTGGTCCCCAGTTGAATTGTTTGGAAGTGTTAGGAGGTGTGGCCTTGTTGGAAGAACTGAGTCACAGGAGTGTGCTTTAAGGTCTCCAAAGTCCAGGCTGGGCCCAGTGTGTATTTTTCTTCTCCCTGCTGCCTGTGGATCAGGATGTAAAGCTCTCAGCTGCTGTTTCCGCACCAGGCCTGTCTGCTTCCTGCCATGATAATAATGGGCTAAACCTCTGAGACTGTAAGCAAGCCTCAATTAAATGCTTTCTTTTACATGGCCACGGTGTCTCTTCAGAGCAATAGAATGGTAACCAAGACAGAGCCTCACCCTACTTCCAGTTCTCACATCCTGTTTCCTGCCTGTTTCTGCTGCCGCATCTGTAGCTGGTTGCTCCGTCTCTCTGCTAAGACGCTTAGCCTTCTGAGACTATAAGAAAAACAAACACTTTTAAAAATAAGTTGCCTTGATCATGATGTTTTATTGCAGCAACAGAAAACTGACACAGGCAGGATACAGGACATCCTTTTTCTTGCCTTCTAGTCTCCTTCTAGAACCTTCCTGGAGGAACCTTCCAGAGAGGCACAGGGTGGCAGAAATGTAGTTTGCAGAGTCCTGGACCCCTGCAACAACAAGTAAAGCATGGAAAGACATTTGAAACAGAAGCAGTAGTGGCCAAACATTCGGTCACAACCATTTCTTGCATCCTGGAAGAAATAATTTCTTATATCCTGGAGGAAACAGCTCAAACTGTGGGGAGTAGATGACTTCCAGAGTGAATGTATATTGTTGACATGAGCATGTCAAAGATACCAGCGACACGTGAATGGCAAGGGCTTCCCCTGGCGTGTGGGCATACAGATTACAATTTTCTCTCCCACATGACTGCAGGTTGAGCCTACCCCATACAGAGAACACTATGCAGATTAGCTCACCCGCCTCCTTGTTTGTCCTACATATAAGTGTTCTGAGTTTTCAAGCAGCGGCTGCGCTGTCTCCCTCTGAGCTCACTGCCCACCTGATGCCAGCTCTTCTGTATTTGTGTTTGTTGTGGCCTTAGTCAGGACAGTCCCAAAGCCATGAAGGTTGCAAAAACTGGTAGAATTTAAATCTAGTGCTGGCTGTGTTTTCTTGTATATCAAGTCACCCTGCACACACAGCAGTTTAAGATTAACATTATTCCTGTTTCTGGAAGTATGACGTCAGTTTAAATGAAAGTTGCTGTCTGCTGTCAATGGAGCTCTATATCCGATTGCTTGATTGAGGAATGTTGCATAGTTGGTGGGAGACTTTAATTTGTTGCTTCCTGGCCTTAGAGTCAAAATAAAACCAAAGATTATGAGATTAGTGGCAATAGAATAGTCCCTTAATTTTGTCTTTTTTTTCTGTCCCATATCAAGTGGTTCTTCTGACATGAGACAGAAATTTTTTTGGATTTTCTTTTAATAAGTGTGCTTGGGTTTAGAGAAGGAGAAAGCCACATCCAACTTCAAAGCCAATTTTAATTTTTAATTGAACTAGGAGTACAAAAAGACCATTTGCATTATATGCCTGTAGAGAATATCAGAAACAAACATTTGGAAATATTTGTGAAATTTTATTCTGTTGGAAATATGATATACCAGTAGACCAACTTACTTCTTCTCTTGGAACATTTTCTCTAAATGATTCATCCCTTTTCTTTAGATATCTCATTTGTCCAGTGTTCTTCAGAATTCTTAGCTGGATGCCTTCATTCTCCTGGAAAGACAGAAACAAAACCCTGCCCCAACCCTAACTTTTGGGAGAGTCCCTTTTGTCAACTTACATCTGACCAAATGAAAAGCATTTGTTAGTCTTATAAATTAGTTTAGATTGAATGGTCATGCTGTTTGACAGACTATCACCTCTTCCAGTCAAGAGGTCTTTCTTGTTCGAATCTAATCTTTATCAATTTTAATGTTATTTATAGCTTTTCTTCTCCTGTGGAAACAAAAGCAAAACCTCCTTCCCAACATAACACATATTCGGGTTTCCATTCTGAGGTCAACATATTTTTAAAGTATACAGGCTGATTTAATTCAGCAGTTTTTTCTATTATCCAATGACTCTCTACAGCTGTCACTTTTTTCTTGTTAGCATTTAGAAAATTTAAAGCTAATAAAGCACTGTGAAATCTATCTCTGGGAGTCTTTATTACCCCTTTCTGTTTACTAGGTATATCTTTTAGAGTTCAGTTGGATCTTTCTATACCTACTTTCCCCATAGGATTATGTGGTTTTACCTTCTAAAGCTGTTCTAGCATCCAGAACAGTACAGTTTTTTACAATAGGCATTAGGTCCTTTAATTTATTCTGGGGAGGACTTTCCCCTACCATAACTGGGAATGATTAAATCAGATTTGACATGGGGAACTGCAAGAGGCCCTCCAAGGCATTTTCCTATGGCAAAGGGTTACCTTGTCTGTCCCTTGTTGATATGTTTTCATTGGTCCAATGTCAACCTTTGCCATACCTTCTGCATACTCTAGAAGGCAGGGGCCTTCTATTTGGATTATTTCTATAAGAAACATGTTTCTAGGAACACCCTGCCTACAATTCCTTTTTTGATGATTTTATTTACCACAATGAAAACATCTGACCTTTTAATTTTTCTTCAAACCTCTGTACATCACCTCTCCTATCCAATTATTATATGGTTGTAAGGTTTAATATTGACTGTATCTCAGATCCATCCCTTGATGGATGCTGATCTTTTCTTTAAAAGCCTAATTACCCTTTCACATTGTGAATTAACATTTTCAAAAGCCAAAGATTCAATTAATATTTGTTTAGCTTTGGGTTTGGTATCATTCTGTTTATAGTTGTACTCAATGTTTGTAAAGAAATCAGTGAAGGTTTCTTTCGAGCCCTGTATAGCTTTAGTAAATGTCTCAGTTCACTTTCCTACTTCTCCAACTCTGTCCCAAGCATTCAAAGCTGCTGCATGGAATAGAGCCAAGGTGTGGTCATTATATAGAGATTGTCTTTGTAATCTGTATAATCACCCTCTCTGAGAAGTTGGTTTTGGGAAAATTTAATACCCCTAGCCCTACTTCATTATTAAATGATCCTAGCCTCATCTTTCTACCAGGTCCTCTACTGCAATTGCGGACCAGGTTCCAATCCTGCTGAAACCAAGTCTTTTCAGTCTTATGGGATACATCTGTTATAAGTTGACCACAAATTTAACATCTTCCTCACAAAAGATGAATACATACCTTATGAGATTATTGTTTCCTTAAATCTCCTCAAATGTAACATTTCCATAGGAATCCAGTCAGCTCTCCCATAGCTTGGGGAATGCTTGTAATTTGGTAGTTGTTCCTGTATGGTGACTGGATAAATTAGGGTTGGTGTTTTGATAACCTTGGGTTGGTCCTCTCTAGTTTTATTATGTAGTGGTGAGGTTGGTTCTCCTTTAAGTTCCTCTGTGTTTGTCTGAATATCTCTATTATCTGTCGTAGTGAGATTTCCTAAGGCTTGTGTTGCTGGTTGGTTTACTCCTTTTACTCTTTTGGCTTTTGGAAGGGGGGGGGCTACCACCAAACTCCCAGATAAATCACACTCAGAGGTTTACTCTTTCTTATAAATGCCTGGCCTTAGTTTGACTTGTTTCTAGCCAGATTTTCTTAACTTAAATTATCCCATCTTTCTTTTGCCTCTGGACTTTTTCCTTTCTTAATTCTGTAATCTTCCTTTTACTCTTACTCCATGGAGGGCTGGGTAGCTGGCCCCTTCTTTTCTTACTCCTTGACCTCTCTTCCATTCTCTATATTCTCCTTCTGTTTATTCTCTCTGCTTGCCATCCCCACCTATCCTTTCTCCTGCCTTGCTATTGACCATTCAACTCTTTATTAGGCTTTTTAGGTGGGCAAAGAATCACAGCTTCACAGAATGCAGCATATCTTTGCATCATTGAAACAATATAAGCACATGTAGCACATCTTAAAATAATAATCCATAACAGCTTGCAACTTGTCAGTCAAAATTGCAGTAGGGTTTCACTATGTAGCCCGGGTGGACTTTAAGTTCCCCCATCAACTTGCTCTGCTCCTTTCCTGAGAAATGGGAAATAAACTTTTTTTTTTTTTTTAAAAAAAATCCTTGATTTTTTCCTTTGTTTTTATTTTATGTGTGCAGGTGTTTTGCATGCACATGTGTCTGTGTACCACATGTGTGCAATACTGTTAGAGGCCAGAAGAGGGTGAAAGATCTCCTAAAACTGGACTTCCTTTAAGTCACCATATGGATGCTGGGAGTCAAACCCCTGTTCTTTGGATCAGCTGGCTACTTTTCCTTCCTTCCTTCCTTCCTTCCTTCCTTCCTTCCTTCCTTCCTTCCTTCCTTC